TGATCAAATAAATCATTCTTTGATTTGAATTTGATCAAATCAAATATTCAAATATCAAATCGAATTGCGAAACCCTAATGAAACTATCTTTAGTATAAATAGAGTAGATTGAATATATTTCATACTATTACAATTGTCACCTATAACAGAAAAAGATTTTTAAAATATATTTCTATATTTTTTTTCATACTTTTCCAAAAGCAATTAATTATGTTGCAAGTAAAAGAATTTTATAGTAAAGTGTGTTTTATTAGATCAAATTTGTCATCAATAAAGAAAATAAAGAAGCTATTAATTTATCAGACAATATTAGATTTTCTTATAATCTAGTAATAATACTAGCAAGAAACAGAAAAGTGGTAGCAGATTATTAAGATATTATTAATCAAACTAAAGAAAAAAATTAAAACATATTTCTAAATTAAATGGTGTTTATGATCCTTTAATAATATACCTAAAAATTTACCCAAAAAGTGTAAAGTTATCATTGTTAAAAATAATGTTACTCAAAAAGATGCATAAAAAATGATGTGAAAGATTTGTCTTTTCTTATAATGAAGTATTATTCTGATAAGCTTGGATATAGATTGGATAAACTTTAGCTAAAAATAAAGGTGAAATATATATAAAGTCTTTTTTAGATTATGTTAAAAACTAAAAATAATGTTGATGATATATATAATGATAAGAAAAAGTCATTATATCTATGGTTTGTTACAAGTATTAGCAAACAGCAAAAAAAAGATTCTAAAAATTTCTAAGTCTCAAAAAGATATGATCTTATATTATCTTTAATAGATATTATAAATTGCATATATAAAGAAATATATAAAGTCTTATTCTTTTATATAGATATGTATTTATTTAATTATTCAACACATATCTTTATGAAATAATATTATCAAATGATTTATTTCTAATTAAGAAGTTTCAAGAAACATATTTGAGATAAATGAGTAAGTATATGATGGTTTAGGTATACAAATAAAATTATATTAATTTTTATATAATATAATTACTAAGACAATTTCTTTTAATGTATCCAATTGTTTATTATATTAATTATGATAAAGCTGATATAACATCATTGAGAATATTTTAGCAAATTATCTGATAAAGGTAATGATAATATAAACTAATATTTTGGTAATATATAAACAGTAAATAATTGCTTTAAGATAAATAAGCATGTTAGAGATTGATTCGAATTTACAAAAATCCTGAAAGTGATAATATTAATTTTGATTAATACTATATATTATATTACAGATAATTATTATTTATTTATAGTATTTTTCAAAACCAATAAATCATTTAGTCTTGATCTAATATAAAAAAATATATATAAGTTACTAAGATAACTATAGTTTTATAAGATTACCATTATTATTCTCATAAGTTACCCACCTTTTAAGAACTAGGCAATTCCTTATTAAAGTTTGAAAATAACTAATAAATTAGTATATTAAAAACAACAAATAATAATATTAATAATTATAAAATATCTTTTTTAATCACTTTTTTTATTTATGATGATTTCGTATAAAGTTTGCTATATGATGATATTGTTTTGTACTAATTTATACAACTCTTTCATTATCATTAACAGTTATACATAGATTTTTCCTACCTGGATCAAATTCAATAACTTTTCCAGTTAAATTCATAATATAATAATTGTCATCATTCCTTTTATCTCTTATTTTTTTTGTTTAATAAAATACAAATACCAACTAAATCTATTTCAATACGACATTAAAACTTTTCACCATATTTTTGTATATTAAAAATTTGAGTCTAATTACTTTTTGCAGAATCTTCAAATTGTGTTTAATTAGCAGTTATTTCTCTACTATTTATTGCTTTCAACTGAACCATTAAAAATATATTATATCTTATTTAAATCTCAAGAGAACTTGAAACGTCTTATGTATTTTAGCAAACTTTTCTTTCAAATTTTTTTTTTAAATAAGCACAATTGCAATCTAATTTCAAGAAATGTATTGCAATCAGATATAAATGATCTTAAACTTAAAGTTTAAAATTCTTACAATTAGATTTTTATCAGCATGCTTTAATATATTATATAAATGATTTATCTTAATAGGTATTTAATAAGTTCTATAATTATATTATAAAACAATATCAAATAAATAAAGACCTTTAACATTTGAATGATGTTTAATAATTTGATTTATAAGTTAAAATAAAAGAAAATAAATTGATCAAGTTTTTCATTAGATCTTCTAATAGATTCAGATTATCTAATAATATATAAAATCTTTATATAATAATATTAGTAATATTAGTATTATAATACTAATTTCTGGTATTGAAGAATTGTTATTTAATAAAATTTTTATATTATTATCAAAATTCTATTAAAGTATTCTTTGTTTTTTTTTTTGCAAATAATCATAAAAAAATTCAATTATAGAAGAAAACCGTAATTTTTTTACTTTGAGTATTTGAAGTAAAAAATATTTGATTAATGAATGTAATTGATATGGTAAATTAGTTAAAACATGATTTCTATAGTTTACTAAATAAGATTTAACCACAGATGAAAGAAAGTCAACTATATATTTAATTAATAAATAAAAAAAAAAATTATAATATATTAATTAATTTAAATTTGATATTATTTTTATTGAAGTCCAATTCAAATGTGATAATCTATATTTATCACAAATTGAATTAATTATTAGTTCTTAGTATTTTGTGGTAAATTTGAGGAATTATTTTGAGTTATTGATTGAAAACAATGTCTTATAAACTGAAAATCAATAATTGGAAGTAACTGATTATTTTCCAAATGATGTAATAAAAAAAGTTGAAAATTTTTGCCCTTCAAAAGTCATTTGATTATAATGTTCAATCATTTCTTTTAATGTCAGAATAATTGATTTATTTAATAATAATGTATTAAATGCCATTTTAATTGTATGAGAAACGAAACATCATCACCATCATCATCATTTAATTTTGAAGATGATAATAATCGTTATGATTTGTAGAAAAGACATTTTTTGCTTGATTTTTGTGTATGATCCATCTTGTCACATGATTTGCAACCTTTGTAAATATAAGCTTGTAAAACATTAAATTTTTTTCATAAAATTTACAATTACCTGCATTATTTTTTTTCGTTTTTGTATTTTTTTCCAAATTAGTCCGTTTAGATGGTTTATTAGTTGCCATGTTACTAAAAGCGAATATATATTTGATTTATCAAATGTTAAATTTTTATTTCATTACACTGTAATTTTATTGTTAATGATGATTAAAGGAAGGGGTATTGATTTTTTTGTAGTTAATTAAATTGATTGTAATGTTCAAATTGATTTTTTGTAGTTTTTTTTTAAAAAAAAGAAAGAAATTTAAAGGGAGATAATGATTTTTGTAGTTACAAAAACGAAAGGATATGATGTTTAAATTTTAAAAAAAAAGAAATTTAAAGGAAGAGGTATTGTTTTTTGAAGTTAAAATTTTTTATCTAAAGGTTTATATGATCTTATACTACTTACACAACGATAATGTTTAAACATTTGAATGTAAGAACTTTCTTTTGTTTACACGTAAAATTATTCTCATGTATTTACATAATAATCTATATTATTTCAACTTTGATAATCGAATCTGTCATATGAAGAATCATTTTATATGAACTTTATATTTAATGTTTATCGGGCGCGAAAACCTTCCATCTACTTTCTATTTTATCATGCCAAATTTATCTCTATAATAACAATTAAAAAATTCTTTGTTTTGGTCTTCAACTTTATCAAATTAAAAAAATATAACGACACCTCACTATCATGTTACAAAAAGCGTAACTTTTCTACTTTATCAATCATTTTTTTATTTATTTTATCGTGTAGAATTTATCGTTAAGTAACAATTAAATAAATTTGAAAAACAAGCGTGGCCAGACATTTACATAACATGTAAAAACAAGTTTCCTGCAAATAAATTCTGTAGAAATCAGAAGATATGCTTCGGTAGAATTCACATTATTTTGAAAACCGCAATAAATGTTCTATAACAAATAATATATTCGGATACACATTTGATCCGACAAATCATCGACAAACAATGTCTGAAGTCATTTGTAATACATTGAATAGTAACACGAGAATTTTGTATGACATTCCCAATTTTTTTCCAAACAAACGATACAAGTTTGACAAACAATTAAGTAGAATATAATCGGGCTTCGTTAATCGTATTATATAGCGCTTTAGTTAGCAAACATCATTCATAGTGTTATAATATAAAAAAATAAAAAAAATCTTAGAATAATAATAACACGTAAATGGCTCAACGAAATAGGTTACCACAGTTTGATTTATTTGACTATGAACGTCCTACTACTGTGTCGCGATTTGATTCAATCCGTCAGCCGTTGGTTCATGAGTTTACCGCTAAAAATTATAATGACTTTTCTAGTTTAACAACAAAGGAACTTTCTCAATTTATTGGTCAATTTCAAAAGTTCCAAGAAGAAGCTTTAGGTCGTCATGCTCCACGATCTAATACTCCTCACCCCACAAAGATTCCAGCAAAATTGTTTAAATTAGATCCCGCTCCTACGACAAAATCTCCTGTTTTTCATATTCTTCGTGCTGCTTATGAATTTCGTGCATCAAAAAAATGGAGAAGGTGGGACTGGAATAATTCAAAAGAGATGGTTGAAATGGTATCATATGTAAGAGATTATTTGGTTAATGAAGGGATCATTAAGAATCCTATAGTTAAATTGGGAGAGTCGGTTGAGAGAATAAGGAGACAGGAATTGATTGAACAAGTTCATTTGTTGGGAGGTATGTTGATCATTTATATCAGTTACTTTTCCTGTGGCTTAGTTATCATGAATTTTGATTGGCAATTTTTAAAATTTCCTAGTTTGTAAATCGTGAATTTTTAAAAAAAATTTCTTTAAATTTTTTAAATTATAGGACGAATAACTCGTGATAATGAAAGTGCAACACATGTTATTCATTATACAAATGATAATGATGATACAGATGAAGAATGGTTTAGAACTCTGGAAAAAAAATCTGGAAGAGTACTTGTACATTGGTGGTATTATCCAGATTCTTATGACATGTGGTTGGAAGAAACCGCGGAACACGCGGATCCAGAGCCCATGCCTGTTCATAAAGGACCATGGAATGTGAGTGAACGTTGGCTTACGGATAGTGTTGTGTTTAATGAATGGATGAATGAAGAAGACTATGAAATTTCGGATACGTCAGAATTTAGGAGATTAACTGCTGGTGATGATCAATCCGGTATTTCTGAGTCTGAAACTTCACCGATTCATAAACGTAACTTGGATTCAATGGATTCTCCTTTGCAAATGGATATTGACGCAAGACCAACTGTTGGTGCCAAACGTGCAAGAATAAGATCTCCTGAACGCGACCCTATACCCGAACATCCGAGTGTATCTCTTGTTGATGTAGAAATAGAAGCAAATCGCGTTGGAGGTGTTCGTTCAAAGAAGAATGAACTTGATCCTATCGCAGGTGGTGAAATTGCTAACATTTCTCAATCAATTCCCGTTGACATTCGTACTGAAACCCCCCATGAAGATTTTGTCGAGGAAGATTCTGAAGCTATAGAAGATAATACTGAAATGGATAATATAACTTCAGATTTAAATGATATACGTATACCTAATGATAACATCAGTAAGTTCTTCATTTTCTAAGCTCTTATTTATTAAAATTTTTGTATAATGATAAATCTATTCAAATTTGGTTGTAAGATATGGATGTTGATATGTTAGAACAGGGACAAACTGAACCAATTGGTGATAATAATTCTCCTAAACGTAATGCAGATTCTCCTATTCCTGTTGTAAAAGAAGTTGACGAGGACGAACCTATGGGAACCCCAGAAGAATCTAAACAGCCGGACGATAATATTAATGACACTTTACCTGAAACCGTTATTCCTGATGCAACTGCTACAAATTCTGAAGAAGAGAAGAAGCGGCTTGAAGAAGAAGCTCGAAAATATTTATCCCAACAAACTCAAGAAATTATTATTCCTTCTTATGCTGCATGGTTTGATATGGCAAAGGTTCATAGTATAGAACAAAAGTCTTTGCCCGAATTCTTTAATAATAGGAATAAATCTAAAACTCCAAGTATTTACAAGGAGTATAGAGACTTCATAATTAATACATACCGTTTAAATCCCGGCGAATATTTAACAGTTACAGCATGTCGAAGAAATTTGGCTGGAGATGTCTGTGCTATTATTCGAATTCATGCTTTCTTGGAACAGTGGGGTTTAATTAACTATCAAGTAAGATTACTATATAAAGTGATATATTTTATCTATCATATTATCCTTATGTAAGAATTCATAATCTTTAATATATAATTAAACACAGGTTGATCCAGACACTCGTCCCTCATCTGTTGGACCACCGTTTACTGGACATTTCCGTGTTTCAGCAGATACTCCAAGAGGTCTTCAACCTTTTCACCCATCCACAATGTCTTTATCGACATCAAATTCTTCTAATACTGCTGCTACCATTACCGCTGGCCCTTCTGACGTTACTGTTAATGCTAATGTTAAAATGGAAAGACCAATTAATATTCGACAGAATGTTTATCAATCAGCAGTGGCTACTGATGCAGGTTCGCAGGTTTCTCAAGATGACAATGCAAGTGCTGGAATAGATGGTGGGGCAACTGAACCACGTCAATACAATTGTTGTTCTTGCGGAGTTGACTGTACTCGTGTTCGTTATCATAGCTTGAAAACCCAAAACTTTGAATTATGTTCGAATTGTTATCTTGAAGGTAGATATCCTACTACAATGTATAGCGGTGACTTCTTGAAAATGGACGATACACCTTTCAAGCATGCTCAAGACGATGATTGGTCAGAACAAGAAACATTGGCACTCCTTGAGGGTGTTGAATTGTACGAAGATGACTGGCATAAGATTTCTGAACATGTCGGCACACGTACTAGAGAACAATGTATTTTACACTTCTTAGAATTTCCGATTGAAGATCCTCTTAATAATACCACTATATCCGATTTGGGTCCATTACAATATCAACGTATACCATTTAGTCAAGCCGATAATCCTATTATGTCAGTGGTAGCATTTTTGGCCTCCGTAGTTAATCCGGGTGTAGCGGCAGCAGCTGCTAAATCTGCATTAAAAGAATTATCATCTCCCAAAATTTCCGATAAATCTAAAGAAATTAACGGAATTAAGGACACAATAACAGGTGAACCTGCAGAAACTTCTGATAATACTCCAATTATTGAAATTAAGCATGAGGATGCTATGGATACAGAGGAAGTATCAAGTGATTCGAATTTAGAAGCATCTTCTAATACAGCAACGCCTTCTGATGCAACTGTTGGACGACCAAAATTATTAGAAAGGGCCGGAGCTACGGCAATGGGCGCCGCAGCTGCTAAAGCTAAAGTGCTTGCAGATTATGAGGAACGAGAAATACAGCGTCTTGTTAATGCTGTTATCGAAAATCAATTAAAAAAGCTTGAACTTAAGCTGCAACAATTCGAAGAACTAGAAGTTGTACTTGAAAATGAGAAAAGGGATTTAGAAAAGCAACGTCAATTGTTGTTCAATGAGAGATTATCACTCAAAAAGAATAGTTTGACAATGCAAGAACAGTTAAGAAATTCTCAAGCCGGTGGATCAAAACAACCATTAAGTACTAGTGGTTTTTATAATTCAAGTAATAACACTCGGATTATATCCGGTGTTGAATATCAACAACAACAAATACAACAACATACATCAGTTAGACCATTGGGACAAGAAGAAGCAGACAATGAACCTGTTATAATGAACTTGTCATGATAAAATTTAAATGTTATTTGTTAAACCTTATATTTGTTATGAATTAATATATTGATCTTTAATAATTTGTATATAAATTTCAGAATTTATACTAAACCTTTATATACTGCATATATATATATATATTTGGAAAGTCATATTCTAAACGTATTTCCTTTCTCTTAAAGCATTTTATCTATCAAATTATGATTGTAATTTGCTTTTATTGATTATCATTCATTAGTCATCGCTTTTAGAGAATTTCACTTTTTCAAATTTTTTTTTTTTTTTTTTTTTTAAGAAATTCATACGGATAATGTATATAAAGAAATAAATATCAATAAAAAATCTTTTTTTTTTAATATAGATTTAATATAAATAATTATAAAATAAAAATTACTAAATAAAAGATTATAAAATCAATTATAATTATTTATAGTCAAATCAATTAAATAAAATTAATATATTAAATATTTATCAATCTAAATAACAGTAATATGTAAAGATATTTTATAATAATAAAAATATAATTCTAAAAATTTTTTTGAGTTAATATTAAATTTATATTTATTTTATTAAAAAAAATTGTATTTGTCTTATAAAGTAGAAATTTTTTTTTGTAAATTAGTATGTTTCTATTTTAAATCATCAATATAATCATTTATTTGATAATGGATAATTAATTTAGAAATATAATATTATTCATTATATTCTTTTATCTTTAGTAGTAAAAAAATAATGATAAAAAAAAATATCTCAAATTACTTTTTTATTTATATTAGCTAAATAACAAAGTTAATTTTAATAAAAGAAACTTTTATATTATTATTATTATCCCTACAAATTGCATTACGAAGTTAAAAAAATGTTATTTTCTTTATAAAATATTAAATATTAATTTTAATAATATTATTATTAGGGTTTTGCAATTCAATTTGATATTTGAATATTCGATTTGAAAATCAAATCAAATATAAATTCAAATTAATAATTGATTTAATTTAATCAAATTCAAATCAAAAAAAAAATTATTTGATTAAATATGAATTAATCTTTGATTTAATTCGATCAAATTCAAATTAAAGAAACTTTATTTGATCAAATAAAAATTAATCTTCAAATATTTGATTTGATTTGCAAATTGTATACAAGCATTTTCTACAAATTTTTTAATATAGTTGAAGCTTTCTATAGCAAATTTTAATTTTTCGAGAAAATTCAGTAAAGTTATACTAAACTATTTGTTATATTCATTATATGATTATTACTAGAGAATGGTATTACCGTTGTGAAGTCTAGAGCTTAAGATCACATGAATTAATTATGTTAATATATCATTACGTCTAATAAAAATAAATAAAACACATTTTAGGAAGAATTTATTAAATCTATATTGCAGGCAGTTTCTTTTTTAGGAAAATGTACCATGGTATTTATAAGTAACCGATATTCGTCGTCTCAAATGATAAGCGGGCGGACAAATGGACACAATGCATAGAAAGTAATTAGTCCTTCGCTAGCTCTGGACTAATTATACTTAAAATTAGTAAAAATTTTATTTAGTCAGAAATTATTTTTATTAGTAATTAAATTTATTGTTCACAATATAAAAATAAAAAATAATTAAATGTTCGCAATATATATTAAATAA